TTCTCGACAGCTCTTGGTTAAAATACGCTGGCCTTCTGCAAGGACTTTTCCTCCATAGATACATTTTGCTGTAACAAAACAGAAAAATGGCTCAGACAGACATGCTATGCAACAAAATGACCTCAGAAGTGCCATCAAACTCCAATAGATTCCACAAACATAGATTCTCTGATTCTCAGCAATACAAATCTCTTTGTCTAGAGTAATACATGGGAATAGTGTCGGGTAACTATTGAATTCCCCAGTCAGCCTGTCATCATGATTACGTTTGCCATGAGCCCTTCACACCAAGGATATACAACTATTGCAATGGTGCAGTTGCAGAAGGAACTAGAGAGTGAAACGATGTGGTTAGAAGTTAAAACAAAGAAGTGGTTGTCATCTCCAGGGAATGCAATAGCTTTGATTCAGACACTCCAGCTGTAAGATGAATAAGTAGGTGAAAGGGAACTCATATATGTTCCAATCATCAGAACCTTGGCCATAATGCAGAAAGATTCCATTTTTTCCCTTGTGATCATGAAAAGTGCATGTCCTTAGCCCATCTGTTCCCCAGAAGCTCAGAGACAATGGAGAAATACCAGCCAAGCCAGTAGGTGCTTTATCAATGCACTAGAGAGACTGCCTTTGGAAAAGTGAGCTTAACAGGCTAACAGGGACATGGAGTAGATAAGCCTTTTAGAAAAGTTAGAAGCATAAATGGAGCTCCCACTACTCAGCTGAGATTCCACTGGGACTCAGTCTTTGATTCAACTTCCTGACCAACTTTTAAACAAGTACAGAATATGCTAATTTGATAAGACTCTAATGTGTCTCCATCAAATTTTCCAGCCCCATTAACAGGAACAAAAGTCCTGATCGCTTCCTCTCCCACACAGATGAGGATTCCTGTAGCCCTAGTCCTCAGGCAAAGCAGAAGTGAAGACATGCACTCTAAGAGATCCCTACCTCGAATCACTGTTTGTCTTAGAAAACCACCTCACCTCTCAGGGTCTCCATTTCTATAGCGGTTTTAAAAAAATGTTAATTAAATGTGATAGTCTCCTAGTTCTACAATCTTATGACTCTCCTGGAATGTTCAAGTACATAGGGACTTTAGCAATCAACTTGTCTAAATCCCTCTTGTTAGTCACAGGAGGAGCAAAGCCCAGAGGCACTGGTCTACTTGACCTCACGAACACACAGTGGATGCTGGCCATACTGTGCTACCCATACCCTCCTCCATGGACAAGCGACACATTCCTGCAGCTGCTGGGACAGTTGACCACCAACAGCTCTCAGCTACATATTGATTTAGGACTTGCCCTTGGCTAAAGAGAGCCACCTTGCCCAAAGTCAAGTCCTCTTCAGCCAATGAGTGATAAGCCCCTTGCCCCAGCTCAGGATAACTCTGAAAGGTCATTCCAGCTCCAGAACTCTCTAAAGGAATGACAGACATATTTGTTGTAACTGCAGTTCACTGCAGTTCATCCTCTGGTTCTGCCCAATTCTGTTTTCTTCTCTATCACACTCCCACCTGGGAACTGATCCTGACAGAACTTCCTACTAAAGTATAAATCTCCATTTCAGAGTCTGGTTCCCCTCAGAACCTGACCTGAGACGACCCACACCTTACTCAAATCTATTCCATTCCGGAATCCACTCTCAGTAAATGGCATCACTATCCACCCCGCACCACATCCCACTACCTGGGGTCCTTCTAACCTCCCCCTCTTACTCAGCCCCACGTCCCATCAGTACCCACATCCTAACAATGCTCCCTCCTTAAATTTCTCAAGTCAACCTACTTTTCTCCATTTCCTACCGCCTGCCCGCAAACACTGTCTTCATTCAGGCCATCATCATCCCTCTTGTTTAGTATACTGGAACTTCCTAACTTATATCCTATGTCCTGCTCTCAATCTCATCCAGTTGTTCTTCACACAACAGTCAGGCATATTTTTTTAAGTGCAAATATGAGGCCCTGCTTTAAAAGCATTATGGATCACTAATGCTCCCAGAACATAGTCCGAATTCCTTAATTCAGCACACAAGGCCATTGATGTGGCTCCTCATTCTCTCTCAAGTTTCATAGCTCACCAACTCCTATGTGTTCACTCGCCCTCCCATACATGCACATCTCCACATATGCTCTGGCCAGGCTTTCTCTCTCTCCTGGAATTTGCATATACTCTTCTCTTCTCTAGTAACACTCAGCCTCATCCACCTTCCACTGGCAACCACCTCTCCTATAAACCCGACAGTTTCAGCTTAGGCCTAACTTCCCTGTTCTTGGCTTTTAACACTGGTGAATTGCCCTCACTTTGTGCTTCTGCTGTGCTCTGGACCTAGCCCTACCACAGCAACATGTCATATTTTATCTCAGTGGCCCATTTAATTATACAACTCCCCTGCTAACAGTAAGGGCCATAAGGGTAGGGGCTACGGCTATTCATAATTTTATCTCCAGCCCCAAGCTCAATACCTCTCTGGGTTTATTGTTAGGTAACAATAAATAATCTTAAAATTAATGAGCCTCTAGTTGGTAACAAAAAAACAATCAAATTTCCTGATTCCCAGATAAGAGTTCTTTCTGCTCTTCAATGCAATTTTAAACATTAAAAGCAGATACCAAAGGCTGCAGAACAAAACAGCAACAACAATAAAAAAGTAAAGAATCGGTATAATTTTCTAGATAGGCCTCTTCCTCCTTTCATTAAAATAAATACACACACACACACACATATATATATTTGCAAAAACCAATATATATATTTGCAAAAACCAAAATCATTTTCTAGTATTCATTCCAGCTAAGATTTACATAATATAGAAATGGGGGTACTGGGGGAACTTTATCAATGGAGAAATTAAACCAGAAGAACAACTAGCTTAAATACATTGTCAGCTGCAGGTAGTTCATTCTTTAATGGAGAAAGGAAACCTAACTATCAAGAAGTTATTTTATCTTTTATGGTGAAATTGCCAATGGCCAATTAGTTAGGCAGCAAAAACATTGGTGGTGCAAATGCTTGCAGCAAAGAGGTTTATAGCGAAACTACCTGATAGGGCTCTTAGAGATGGTATCTGAAGCCAGGTCTGTAATGAGCTCACTCAGGGAGGAAGGATCCTTGGGTGTTCAGCCTTTCTAATCTGCCACTCTCCATTACAGTGTAATACAGAGTGCTGATTTTGATATTCTAAGCTGCTGAGTTCCAAGGGATGGCTCCAGTGTATGCACGGTACAGATACCTAAATGAAGACAGAGGAACCTCATGTCCACATCTGACAGGGGTGCTAAGTCATACCTGTCAATTGTTTATTCAGTGTGCACCCAAATGGCAAAAGTGTACAATTGTTGCATTAGAAAAATCAGGATCCAATTTGAAAGGCTAGAAGATGTCTGTGGGTACAGAAAGATGCAACTGAATACCTTTTTCTAAATCCTCAGTACATTTGTTTCTGCCATCATGGAGAAGTATGTGTTCATGTGAAGTTTCAATTTCATGGTCGGACATGTGAAATATTCTAGTTTGCATGTCCCCAGTGTGATGTGAAGGGCTTCAGGTATCCATTTACATTTCTACTCATACTGAAAGCTGTTGGATTGGAGTCCCAAATGCCCCAGCCAAATGCACCAGAGCCTGGCTCACCTTATGCTTGAATTTCCTCAGATGTCAAAAATAAGCCTCTTGGCTGTAGATCAAAAGGCTGGATAGTAAAGACTGATAGTAGGCATAGGGAGGGCAGAGGCAGGGAAGGAGGGGCACAGTCAGAGGAGTGGGATAGTATGAGAAAGCAGGGGAAATTCTTGTGACCTCCAGTGGTGATCTTGAAAGCTGTCTTAAGGTAATTTCATAGATACTTGATATCATAATCAGAGACACATCCTGCATGAGTGCCAAAGCTGCAAATGGCTGAGGCGTGCATTATCGTAGTGATATTCACAGCTCCCAAAGTATCCTGCTATGTGAGGACATAAAGTTCAGTGGACATTTAATTTTTATACCAGACTGGTGGATTTGAGGGCTGGATGAGTCCCCATGTGTGGTGCGAATGGAAACAATCAGACATTACTATCTCCAGATAGGAGTTCTGGGGTGAGTCTGCCAGAGGAAGAAAGGAGTCAAGCAAACGTCCTAAGACAGGGTAGCAAGTGTGCTCGTACCATTGTGGGGGTGGCAAGGGGCAAAATAAAGAAGAAAAATCTATTTCTTTGCTTCCCAGCCTGGGCCAAGAAGCAGATGGCAGATTTGACAGCAGGGCATTTAGCAGAACTGTCACTCTGGAACGAGCCATCTTGCCAAGTTGGCAGCAGCTGTGCTTGGGAGTGTGGGAGTTTATTAGACAGGAATTCCAGGCTTTGGGAGGTGTGGTCTCCCCATGCAAGTAAATTGGGGAAGCCGCATCATCAGGACCAGTAAATCATGGTCAACTGATTTATCTAGAAAATCGAGGCATAAAAGATGGCCGGGGATATTTTATATATACACAACTGATGAATCTCGAAGGCTCTCCTGAGTTTTTCCCGATGCCTCCCAAACAAATACTACCTCTAAGAGCCCGGTCTGGCAGTTACACCGTAAACCTCTTTGCTGCAAGCATGTGCACCACCAGCATTTTCGCTGACTAACTAATTGGCCATTGGCAATTTCACCATAAAAGATAAAATAACTTCTTGATAGTTAGGTTTCATTTCTCCATTAAAGAATGAACTACCTGCAGCTGACAATGTATTTAAGCTGGTTGTTCGTCTGGTTTCATTTCTCCATTGATAAAGTTCCCCCAGTACTCCCATTTCTATATTATGTAAATCTTAGCCGGAACGAATAATAGAAAATGATAACATATCAGTTTTTTGCAAATCCTTGGGTGAGCACAGTCTTCTCTTCCACTTGTCAAAACCAAAAGTTTACCAAGCTATGGCAAATAGAATAGACAGCTACTGATTCACAGCAGTCTTCAAGAGCACTTATTATCAATTCTTGAGCTGGAAAATGCTACCTCTCTTAATGAAGAAAGTTCCGTGAAAAAAAGTTCAATGTCGAAAGGAGACAAATAGACAAGAAAAAAAAAAAAAAAAAGTATAATACTATGAACAAAAAACTTCAAAGATAATGTATTTTCATTTTTTGCAGTGCAGTCTTTTTAATTTTAGTAATTTTTCACGTTTCATTATGTCCTTTTTAATTCCCTTTTATTTTTTATTCTTTTATCTTTCATGGCAAAACTGCCTTACAGCCAATTAGTTATGCAGCAAACATGTTTGCAGCAAAGATGCTTACAGGGAAACCACCTAGAACCCTCTGAGCAAGATGCCCACATCAAACTGGTTGTCCCTCAGGCATCTCCAAATCAAACAAGCAAAACAAAAAGCAGCCTCTCCAGTCTAGTTCTTCCACCTACCTTATTTCTGTAAATCACACTATGAGTCTCCCACCAGCTCTTGTCAAAGTCTAGCAACTTCTCCCCTAAAGACACTTTGTCCCTGATTCATCTGTCTCAAGAAAAAAAAAAACAAAAAACCTTCTTTTGGAGTACCTACCATGAACCAGATCCTTTGGCTATCATTCACATCCACCCCTTCCTTCTCTTCTCTCCAGGCAGGGCCTACCTGACAGCCTCACTGCCTCCACCTGGAATATGCCTGAATCTCATGTCCAATCCCCACCAGCTCTCCTGATGCAGCAGCCTTTGTAAAAGCACTTCTTTGATTATGCTACAATTCTACTTTAAAATCTTGCTTTTAAGGACCACAGCCAATGCTGTGTTTACTTCCATGGTCTTGCACGTACAATTCCCTGTGGTAGGTGTGTTCTTACCCACCTATCCACATAGAAAACTCATATTCATTTGTCCACAGCCTGCTCAGCTATTACTTCCGCTATGATGTTTTCCTAGCACACGTGCACTCATGTGCACATACACACACACGAGTTTCTGATGGAGTTAATCCCTCCCTTCTCTGTGCTACTGCTGCATCTTTCACTGTGTGCATGACGTAAAATACTCTATCGTAACAAGATAGTGTGTAAGCATCTTCCTGGACAGCAGGGGGTGGAAGAGCTAGGTTAAGAGCATCAGCTGTGGAGCCAGACTGCCTGGGTTTTATGTTGGCTCCTCCAAAGCTGAGAGACCTTGGACAAGTTACTTCTCTCTGTGCTTCACTTCCTCATCTGTAAAATGAGAGTAATAATGAAGCCTACTACTTTAGGTTGCTGGAAGAATTAAATGAATTAACACACATAAAAGGGCTGAACTCAGTGCCTGACATAAAATAGAAGGTCCGTATATGCCTGTTGTTATAGCCAGAAGGACAGTGTTTGTTTGGGAGATGAATCTCAGTAAGATGACTGAATAAATCGAATGGAATACAATCATCATCATCCATCCCCGACCCACTTCTGTAGCTTTATTTCTACTTCCCACCAAAAGAAGCCTCCATTATTAGACAGGCCATCTCCCTTTCCCTCTGCCACCTCTATTCCTTTGTAAATGCTGTTGGGCACAGCTGAAGATCCCCTCTCCATCCTCCTCTGTCTCTACCATCTCTGACAGGTTTCAAACCTGTCCACCAAAAGAACACAGACTACAGAACACCGCTGCCTGGAGATTCTGATTTACCAGGTCAAAGTAGGGGCCTGGGACTCTCTAGATTAAGAAGTTCACCAGGTGATTCTAATGTGCAGCTCGGTATGTTTGATGCCTTGAAGAGCAGACACGGAACAAATTTTTGAGGAATAAAACTCCTCTAATAACTCCTGAACTGCCATGCCCACAGCTAATGAATCTAGAAGGCTCTCCTGAGTTTTCCCTGATTCCTCCCAAACAGATAGAGGAACATTCTAGTATCAGGACCTGGTACCTCCACTATGAAAACCTCCTTGTCCTTGAAAAGGGGCTTTGCTTCAGAATAGGACAAAGTACTTTTTTAGGCAATGAACCAAGACAGGAACTCAGACAAGTTCTGTCCTCTTTCCCACAGATGCCTGCTGTCTTCTGTAAGTGCTGCAGCTCCTGAGGCCATGACAAGTACATGAACACTTAATAAGTCAGCAGACAAAACAATTTGCTTTTGTATATGGCTCCTTTTGCCTGAGCCAGATCAATACCTTTCCAGAGTCCCTAGCATACTTCTCCCACCCAAACCCAGAGAGTAGCTTAGGAAATTTATCTGAAAGGGACAAAAGTAATTATTCTCCACCCTTTTTCTGATGTGGATATTTGAAAACCTCTAGAATTCCACTAACTAGTATCAGAACTCTGCTTCATCAATCCTCATTCTCCTCTTTTTCACCCCACTTCTCAAACTGCCATAATAATCTTCCTGAAGGCTAGAAATATTTAGCTTGGCTCCACTTCCTCCAGGGAGTATCTCATGATTATCAACAATGTCCTCCCTGACCCTCCCACAAGTCATTAGTCTATACTCCAACAGTGCCCCATCCATGTGCCTAATATGATCGCACTTAAAATTCTAGACACCATAAATCATGTCTCTAACTTGAAAGTGAGCCCTCTCACCATTCCAGACACCCACACTGCATAAATGCCTAATACATATTTCTATAATCAGAAATGAAAATCTTCTAGGCAAAAGTTCCCCAAACTTTTAATTACCAGAGGTGGCTTGCATCAATTCTTTTCAAGTTTTTTTTTTTTTTGAGTAGTCTTCATAACTTATCTGCATTACCATTTTATTAAACTATAAACATGTCAAACTATCAATCAAAGCTGCCAAGAAAATTAGTGATAGCTAAATAAATTCCTATGAATTCCAAACACACTCGTGTGTTAGTCTTTATATTCAGCATCTTGGTAAAATTGGATAACTTACTAAATATTTTTTAAAACTTAAAATTCTCCAATAAATTAAAGAAAAATGACTACCCTATACATTTGTAGTGAGAGAACAATTTGACCATATGTATTAAAGGGGCTCCAAAAATATCAGTCATTTGGCATAGTAATTCTACTCTAGAGAATTCCACATTAATAAAATATAAAATACAAAAACATGTGTTTTCTATGCAAAATGTTATTAAAGAGTAATTTATAAAAGGGAAAAGTGGAAAACAACCTAGCTATCTAACACTTGGAGAATGATTAAGTAAGTAATGTAGCAGCCAAACAATGAAACTCATTAAAATGAGGTTTATACAGTTTTTTTAAACATAAAAATACACTTAAGTGATAGTGGTAAGTCAATAAGGTAAAACAAAAAATTATCTGCACAGTAAGATCTCAAATGTACACAAAATATAATTTTTAAAAATGAAATCCACTAAAAGTTCAAGAGCATTTCCAAGTGATGGCATTATGGGAGATTTCTCCATCTTTATTTTTACTTTTCTTTGTGATTTCAAATGTTACACAATAAACATGTTGCTTTTTCAAGGAGAAAACCAAAAGGTTAAAACACAAAGCAACTGTAAGACTCATCTACCGCATGTCCAAAAAACAACTTGCAGGAAACAGCATTCACAGGTCTGTCTAGGGAACTCAAAATAATAAATTTAAAATGTCTCACATTTTTAAATAAAAATTCCCAATAGTTGTTCAACTTCCTCCTCTGACTGTTGTATAAAATTGCAAAATTGGAAAAAAATAATCTGTACCTACAAAGAACCACCTTTCAATCAGGGCAGCAAACCATCATCTTCATACTATTATCTTCAACAGACATGACTTGGAACAGAAAAGCTCTTGGAACAGAAACTTAAAAGAAAGCTTATTTTTTTAAATCGACTCCAAGTACACTCTCAAGAGTAATGGGAATACTATACCAACCGTGAGAAGAAGGAATATTTGAAAGTTCCTTTTGAAAAAGTTCAGCAAAGGTTTGGGCAGGTGTGACCAAACCATCAATCTCACTTCCACTGTCATATTAGGTAACATGATGTTCTTGGCAAAAAGCTAGACCACTGTCTTTTGAAAACCTAATGACACTGGTGTTTTTCAACAGAAAAATGATCTTGTAAGTTATCCATAGGATGCCACCTTCCTAGCGTGAACTCTCCTTTTCTAAGAAGACCATATGATTTGATGAAAAGACTAGGAGCTCTGAAATCAAACAGAACTAGTTTTACATCTCACCTTGGCCACTCACCAGTCTTGTGACCTTGGTTAGTTCACTTCCCTAAGCCTAAAATCCCTGTAAAACAGGGCTAATCATAATCCCCACCAAAAGGATTAAGATGAAGATTCAATAAGCTAATGAAATTCCAGTGCCTAGCATAGTAACTGGCACATATTATGCATTCTAAATGACAGCTTTTACTCTTACTGCTTGTCTCAGTGTTCATTCCACTCTTTCACTTGAAACAGCGCCCTTCGTAATACAAAGAGAAAAGGACTTTATAACTTGAACAAGCCAACTATGAAGGAAATTATTTCAGCATTTTAACTGAAGTTCATCTTGAAATTCCAAACGGAAGGTTTTTAATAATAGAAAATGTAGCCAAGACCTCAGAATACCAAAACAGAATTTCGTGTTTAACTTGATCATTCAGGACGAGGGGGACCAAACACATGGAGCTCTGGAGTCCAGACTTTATGGATCGACTCCACCCATTCCCAGTTGTGTGACTCTGTAAAAGTGACTTAATCCCTGTGAACACCAGTTTCTTCTACACAGAATGGGAAAAAGAACAGTAATTACGGTAGATGTGAGAATTCTAAAAAAACAGCTTAAAGTGTCTGCCACATCATAGGTGATTAAAATCCAGCAGCCCTTCTCTTCATACATATAATATTACATCAACTGCTGGTGCTCCATTTCGTCAATGTTAATCAGTTAGTACCTAAAATATGGGGGCGGGGGAATAAATCTCAAAACACAGAGGGCCACTCTGACCCTCAGTCAGTACTTACGTCGGCAAACCTTACAGCACTGGCCAGCAATGTGCACAGGGAGGGAGTCTGGGGAGCAATTGAGAGGGGGACGACATCCTTC